TTGTTGATGATATCTTACTTGCCACCAATGATTTAAGGGTCTTATATGAGACCAAGAAATTTATTTCAAAGCATTTTGAGATGAAAGATCTTGGGGAAGTCTCATTTGTATTAGGAATCCAAATTCAACGAGACAGATCTCGTGGAATTCTAGGATTATCACAAAAGGGCTATATTAAAAATATCCTTGAAATATTTGGCATGCAAAACTGCAAACTAGGAGACACCCCTGTTTCGAACGGATACAAATTCAGTCTCAATCAATGCCCTAAAAATGACCTTGAAGTTAAAGAGATGCAGAAGATTCCTTATGCATCGGTTGTTGGGAGTTATATGTATGCTCATGTGTGTACAAGTCCCGACATATCTTTCATTGTAGGGATGTTGGGAAGATATCTAAGCAACCCAGGTATAGACTACTAGAAAGTAGCCAAAATGGGTTTTGAGATATCTACAGAGAACAAAAGACTATATGCTCACATATAGGAAATCAGATGTTTTGGAGATCATTGGGTATTATGATTAAGATTTTGCTGGATGCCAAGACAGTTATCGATCCACATCAGGCTATATTTACCTATTAGCAGGAGGAGCTGTTTCATGGAAGAGTGCTAAACAGACTTTGGTAACTTCTTCTACAATGGAGGCAAAATTTGTAGCATGTTTCGAGGCATCTATACATGCAATATGGTTGCGGAACTTAGTCACAGGGTTGCGTATTATTGGTGTTGAAAGACCACTAAAGTTGTATTGTGACAATAAGTCGGCAATGTTATATTCCAACAACAACAGAAGTTCTACAAAGTCAAGGCATATTGACATCAAGTTTCTAGTTGTTAAAGAAAGAGTGCAAAATGGAAAAATCGCAATAGAGCACATCAGAACAAACTCCATGATAACGAATCCGCTCACGAAGGGATTACCTCCCGAGGTCTTTCATGAGCATACCACACACATGGGTGTGATAAATATTGATAATATTTTGTTTTAGTGGGAGTTTTACAATTTATTTTGGGTGCTTTATTTTTGTTTAAGAACAATTATGTTTTTCTGTACAGACTTAAGAATTTGGTTAATTCCATTATTAGTTGCACTTATTTGAAGAATGATCTCACTTCAAGCTAAAGAGGAATTCTTCGGAAATCATTTTTGATTTTATGACCATAAATCATGTTTAATTTATGTCGTTAGTTATACTTATATATGTGACCATTGATGGTTTAGTTACGAAAATTGTAACAAAGACCGCTTTGATCCTGTACAAGTATTATTAATGGACAAAATTGTTTAAGGGTGCCAATATCATGATAACATACATTAAAGCGCTAATATGGTTATATGTACATTTATATATTCATGATCCAGTGGAAGATTGTTAGAAAATCATGGGACCATTCTATAAATGCACATATATATTGTTATCATTTAAATTCAAAAAACATTATGGTAAGTGTATAAGATTGTTGATGGACCGATATTCACTTACCATTTGTGGCTTGAGTTCCCGGTTTGACACAATATCCTCAAGATCCCTTCCATCTCTCACTTTAGGGTTTATCTCCATCTATAAATACATGTGACGAGGAGCAAATCTAGAGACACGAAATGACACAAAGAAATACGTATTAGGGTTTGCTAAGGGGTTTTAAAGAAAGTCTTGAGATCAACTGAAAAATCAAGTCTTCATTAGATTCAAAAGCTTCAGTGGAAGCAGATACATTCTTCTTTTTCTCTTATTTTCTTTTATCTAGATTCGAGTTTGAAAGTCTGACCTTTGAAAGCTTCCGTATATAAAGACTAAGTTATAAAAATATTATAACACGAAGTTCTTGAGTTGGCCGGAAAAATCATGAACGTCGAACACTTGCCGGAGAAGATAACCGGAGCCTCGCCGAAGCTGTCAAACATGCCGAAAACCGGCTAAATCTCTAATAGCATATCATAATGATGTTTTTTGAACAATTCAACAAATTTAATCGAAAATTATTGACAAAAAAAACTCAGTGATTAAATATGTACAAATCAAAAAGTATATTACCTTTTTAAGTAATTATCCTTTTTTAGGTTAAAATGATATTTTCCGTAAGTAAAGAAAAATGAATACTACAGACGCTTGTGAGGACTTGGTTACTTTGTTGGATGCGTGATTGTAGGAGGTATTTTAAACGAGGGGAATTATTTTCATTTTATCCTTAAAAAACTATAAGTCATTTCAAGAAGCCAAATCATTTTAAATTCTTAAGATATCCATAGTGATGGCAAAAAAAAAAAGAGTTTTAAAAAGGTGTTCTTACTTGCTAAAGTCTAAACATTTATTTTGGATTAGACTAATGACAAAAAAATTAATAAGTCAATAATTTGTTCACTCAATTTCAAACATTCTGTAAAATATAATAAAAAGAAAGATAATTACAAAAATGAATCACTTTATGACTTCTGGATTGAATGAAACAATCACTATGTTTGAAACATTGCATTTTAGATGTGGATTTCAGACTTTGAATTCTATACTAGACATTAGACAAAATAGATGACATGTGCAAAATCCAAAGACAAATTTGATTTCAAAAAGCATGTTATGTTTTTTTACCAAACCAAAAAAAAAAAAAATACATATCAAAACCGAAGTTGATTATTATACAAATGCATTACAAATGTGTCATTTAGTTGGAAAAGCAATGATGGTTAACATTTCATATTAAAAGGCCATATGGAATTTTTTTTTATAAGTGTTTGTTCCAAATAAAAGAAATATACAAATTATATTCCGTCCAAAATACCCCATCTTAAAATTGGTGGTCATTTGTGGGAATCGTTAAAAATTTAGTCATTTACATTGGGTTTAAATAACCATGTGGTGAGTAAGGTATAAGCTAATGCTACGGTTATGTGTTAAGATTTGGTTTTGTGGCTTTTGTCGCCCCGCGACTCGGTGCATTGATTACTACGGTGTGATGTCGTCACGTCTCCACGGCGTGGTGGTTATTTATGGCAACGAGGTGGCGCTGTTATGGGCACAAAACCCTAAGTGCTGGGCCGTGAGCCCGATTGCCCCTTGTGTTTTTCAATTCTCTGATTTGTTTTTTTCAATTTTCTGGTTGTTTTTTAACGAGAAATCTCCAGAAAAGTTCTAAAAATTTACCATAATTTACGAAAAAGTCCAAAACTAAAATTTGTTTACGAAAAAGCATGAATTACCGGTAAAAATGACGATTTGACCCCTTTTTTCCGGTTTACCGGTTTTATTACTTACATGTTTCACTAAAGTCCCATTATTTTACCCTAATTTGCAAATAAGTCTCAAAATAAAATTTACTGATGATTTGACCATTTTCTTCATGTAACATACATTTTATCGGTTTCATTGCTGACTTAAACACCTAGTCTTTAAATTAGTTGATAAGATGAATACGATGGGTTATATAATGTCACATTTACTGTAAAATTTGATACTCATCTGATACCCATCTCATCGGCTCATTTATGACTATGTATCTACGTCAGCAATGAGTGTGTTTCCAAGAAAAAAGGGCAGAAAATGAGTTGATGTCTGATGAGATGAATATATTGGGTTACATAAGATTAGATAGACAATTTGATATTTCTTATAAACGTAAAAAATAACGCAGTTGTTGTTAGTTTTGTATGCTATGCATTATATAACTCAACCTATCAATCTCATCATCTCATTTACTTACCCGGCGTCCGGGTCAACAATGAAACCGGTAAAATGTATGTTACATAGAGAAAAAGGTCAAATCATCAGTAAATTTTATTTTGGGACTTATTCGCAAATTAGGGTAAAATATTGAGACTTTAGTGAAATAGGTAAGTAATAAAACCGGTAAACCGGAAAAAGTGGTCAAATCGCCATTTTTACCGGTAATTCATGTTTTTTCATAAACAAAATATAGTTTGACATTTTTTCGTAAATTATGGTAAAATTTTAGGAATTTTCTTGAGATTTCCTTTTTTTAATTCTCAATATTTTTTCTTTTCTTATCTATTCTCTATAAAAAAAACGTAGAAAATCAAAAGGGTGGAAAAATGAATTTGTTTTTATTCTCTTTTCCTCATTCTCGGTCGTTAAGAGACACGAAAAATGGAATCAAATCCATTTTCCTTTTTCATTTCTTTGTACCAAACACATCCTAAGATTAGTGAAGAGGAAGATTCTTAAAATCATTGTTGTGACCATGAATGAGCTCTTTGGCAACAGTGTTGTTTTTCAAAGGCATAACATGAGAAGAGTCATATAATCTTATTTTAAAGAATCTCGTTAATCATTTATTTGATTGGTTTTTAAATATACTTAGCAAAGTAACATTATTTAGACATTGTGGTTACAAAACCCAATATTAAATGACTTTTTGTAATTGTTGTTTGTACTAGCTCCTTGCTAGTTGGTGTCTTTCTATAAAATTAAACTGTTTAAAAAAAATTATTGCTCATAATCCTAAACCATCATGAGACATTTTCAAATACAATATAAAGGAGGTTTACAAACGGGTCATGATGGTTCATATACTTTCCGTAAACCAAAAGTATTCATGATTATACGTTACAGTTCAAGTATTTTATAGTTTACCATTATTAACCACAAATTCAAGGGTGTCATCCATTATATGGTGTAACGTGCCAAGGGTCATCAATTATCAATAGCATCAATATCCCTACTTATTTTTTATTTTTTATTTTTATAGAAGATCAATTGTTTATATCTTACCTTTCTCATATCTCATTCATACGATGCCCACGTATTGTTATTGGGGCATTGTGATTCGGGCATTGTGATTCACAAGTTTAGGAACTTGGAAACAACCAACAATAAAATAAATAAAATAATCTTGAAGGATTATTTTCACTTAGAAAGTTCGTAAGAAAGAGAAAAGGGACGAAAGTGAAATAAGAACAAGAACTTGTTAAACAATTGAGCAAAATGGACATGTGAAAAAGTAAAGAAAGAAATTTTTTAAACAAAAATAAACATTTGGATATATTTTGGGTATAAAGTTATAAACGTTGGCATTGGGAAAGAGAAAATTTAATCCGAGGGAGGGTACATCCACCATTGCCGACAAATTCTGTATCTCGTGGTCGTCTTCTTCCTTTTGCTCGTTTCTTCTTCTGTATATCTTCCACTATTCTGGTCGTAAAATTTCTGTGCCTGCAAGCCAATTCATACGTACATAGAAGAATGGTTATTCGGGTTTCATTGGGTTCAGCATAGAAGTTTGGTTCTATTGTTTTCTTTACTGGAAGAGGGAAGATGAAGATGAGTATGAAGACATGGATGAGAAAACCAGTGCTAGTGTTGCTTTTTGTAACGGTTCTTGCCCCCATTGTTCTTTACACTGATAGACTCGCTACATTTTCTTCCTTTTGTAATTCCCCTCTCTTCCTCTCAGATCCTCTTCTTCTATAAAACCATCAAATCTGTGTTGTCTAATCCGTTTTTGTCTTCTTCTTGTAGCTATAGATGAATACGTTTCGGAACCTTCAACACTTGTAAGTCCTTCGCTCCTCATTTTGCAATCTCATCGATCTGAAATCAATTGTTTGTAATTTCTTTTTAATTTACTTATTTTTGCCTCAGTCGCTGAATCGTGATGTCAGGTCCCAAAATTTACTTCCTCAGGTAGGTAACATCACCAATTCGCTTCCTAAATTCGGATACTTGGAAGCGTATTCATTTCTCCAATCCTTCAATTCATGTTTTCAGGAGTTATCTGCAGCAAAAGAAGAGACAGCGAGTGATGTTTATTTGGGAAAATCGACTAGATCTATTCAACTTCTTGATGGTGAAAGGTCCAGGAAAACTAGACAGCTTAATGAAGGTTTCTCTCCTTACTTTTTCATTCACCACTAACCCTAACCCTAATTTAAGCTACAATCATCTATGTTTACACGAACAAATTTACAAAACACGCAACGAAATTCCAATTCTTTTATGATTTTTATCCACCCCACCATACGATTTACTTAGACACTTTCAACACTCATACTTCAGAATCGCATGAACATGACGCAATTGTCATCAGGCAAGTGACACAAGGATTTCACGAAGCTGATCACACTGACAACAGACATGAATCGACTGAAAACCAGAAGTTGAAGGCGTCTGAGCATAAATTGTTATCCACTGAAGCTGTAAGTTGTTTAAAATTTATCTGGGATTGTTGCTGTGCTGTCACTTTCATGAATCTTGTGATCTAAATAGGTGCTCATGTCTAGCTGTGTATTCAGATTGGTATTAGCTGTATACTTTATAAACCATAAATATGTTTAGTAACTTGCAAGTATTGATAAAATGATCAAGAATACCCATCATCCTCTATTATCCTTATACAGCTTTTATACCATGTATATCTCTTGTAACCATCCTCTATTATTCTTATATGTGTAAATTAAAAACTATCTGATTATAATTAAATAAGGTCTAAAGTATAGTTAAAACTATACATTCTATTCACATATAATTCCAAGACAAATTCACATAGACAAGTGCAATTTCAGTTTCAAATCTAGACTTAGTTCATGTTGATTTCTAATCTTTTAGGAAACCAAAAAAGAGGGAAAATCCATTGAACCTGCAAAAACCAAAAGCAAGAAAGCAGATGAACATGTTTTAACAGATACCCGTGTTAAGTATCTGAAGGATCAGTTGATTAGGGCAAGAGTTTACCTTTCCCTTTCAGCAACAAGAACAAATACTCAATTTATTAAGGAACTTCGGTTACGTATGAAGGAACTTCAAAGAGCACTTGGTGATGCAACCAAGGATGCAGATCTACCAAAGAAGTAAGCCTAATTTAAATTCTAAGGCTAAATGCAAAAATACGTTGCTATTTCTTTCATTTAACCTTATTTAAATATATAATTGCGTTATATCTTGGGGGTATGAATCTAGTGCGAATGAGAAGCTGAAAGCAATGGAGCAGACACTGGCAAAAGGGAAGCAAATACAGGACGATTGCACTGCTGTTGTAAAGAAACTGCGTGCCATTATTCACTCTACAGAAGAACAGCTGCGGGTCCACAAGAAACAGGCCTTGTTTCTGACTCATTTAACTGCCAAAACTGTTCCAAAGGGTCTCCATTGTCTTCCCTTACGCCTTTCAACCGAATACTATTCTCTTGATTCTTCTGCTCAACAATTCCCAAATCAAGAAAAACTACATCACCCCAACCTCTTCCACTATGCATTGTTTTCGGATAATGTGTTGGCTACTGCTGTAGTTGTCAATTCAACCGTTTCCAATGCAAAGGTACATTATTTTTTTTTAACCTATAAATTATAATAGCAATGTGGTTATTCCTTGAAATCGACTCAATGATTAACATGAAAGCATGTTGTTTGGAGCAGGATCCTTCAAAACATGTGTTCCACATTGTGACAGATAGGCTGAATTACGCAGCAATGAGAATGTGGTTTCTTGCAAATCCAGCTGGCGAGGCCACAATACAAGTTGAAAACATCGAGGAATTCACATGGCTGAATGCAAGTTACAGCCCTGTCTTAAAGCAATTGGGTTCACAGAACATGATCGATTATTATTTCAAAACACGAAAATCCGAGTCCGATTCCAATCTGAAATTCAGAAACCCAAAGTATCTGTCAATCATGAATCATCTTCGGTTTTACCTTGCGGAGATATTCCCAAAGCTTAGTAAAGTGGTGTTCTTGGATGATGATATTGTGGTGCAAAAGGATTTGAGTGGTCTTTGGTCTATTGATTTGAAAGGGAAGGTGATTGGTGCTGTTGAGACATGTGGGGAGAACTTCCACCGGTTTGATCGATACCTCAACTTCTCAAATCCTCTGATTGCTACAAATTTCAATCCACGTGCGTGTGGATGGGCGTATGGAATGAATGTATTTGATTTGGAGGAATGGAGGAAGCAAAACATCACTCAGGTTTATCACTCGTGGCAAAAGTTGGTATGTGTTTGATTCATCAATTGCAATAAGCAAGAACTAAGAAAATATATATATATATATATATATATATATATATATATATATATATATATATATATATCATGTGATTGAAGTTGTAGTAACATTTGGATTTGGTTGGGTGCAGAATAATGAGAGACAACTGTGGAAGCTGGGGACGCTGCCACCTGGCTTGATAACATTTTGGAAACGGGTATACCCGTTGGAGAGGACATGGCATGTACTTGGGCTTGGGTATAACCCGAGTGTCAGCCACAGGGAGATTGAAAAAGCTGCTGTGATTCACTACAACGGGAATCTGAAGCCGTGGCTGGAAATAGGGATTCCAAAGTTTCGAGGGTATTGGAATCGGTTTCTGGACTATGATCAGGCTTACATGAGGGATTGCAATATGAGCCCTTGATTATTAGACAATGGAGAAGCAAGTATATGTATGTAGTAGTAGATATTCTTTTGTTGTGGTTAAGTGTATTGTTGAAAATGTTTCCTCGTTCTAACCCTGGGTAGAAGAAACTGAAGGCATCCATAGTTCTCCATACATTATTGTGTTGTATCTTGTAAATGAGCAAGAGATTGATGGTTTTAGAAGGTTTGTGCTCCGTGTGTGTATTAGTATAAAGTATAAACATTTTAGGCTTGAATTGTTTTGGTGGATCCTAAGAAAGGATGATGGGTATGTTGTATTTCCGTATACCATTTATATATATATATATATATATATATATATATATATATATATATATATATTCTTATTGGCTGCATACAAGGTTTAGTAATTTACTTTTATATTTTCTGTTATTATAGTATTGTATTATTACTTATTCTCATTACCATATTGTTATTCGCTTAAATGATCATAATAAGCCACTTAAAAAATGACAATACAGTGTGATTTTCGTCTTGCAGACTCTTTGATATGCTTCTCTGACAAAAATATATCGACAACTCTTTGGTGTGGCGATTATGTTGTTCGTGAGGTATTAATATTGCAATATTTTTCATGCAATCGTCCTCAATATGACTTTTAAAGGACACTTGCTTTCAACTCACATTGTATTTCATATTCACGAGGAATTAATATTACACCTTCACCATACAACAGTTAAAGCTAAGGACTTTGTTATATAGTTGCAACCTGCAGTTATTATTCGTGAGGATTGATATAACCTGTGTTTAAGACACATGTGATTCTAAATGACCGGTTATAATTGACTAAAAATGGTAAGTAAGTTTGTAGCTGCTAGGATATAAGTGGACCTTTTACTTTCAATACACGTTTCTTCTAGTAATTCAACTACTTCAACTAGACCTAATAAATTTCTACCCTCAGCGTTGTGTCGTCCTATAGGCCTATAAATCATCGTTGTTTTCCATATTTCAACCCTTCCTAAGAGTACAATAAGAAGGCGTTTAAAAAAAGTTCACTGTTGCAAAAATGGTTATCACTTACTTTTATGGATCCTACTTGTCCACATTGTTCTTGCAATCATCTGTGCACATCACCCTTATGTGTTGGACGACTCCTCTTGTTGTCGGACTACATTTTCCTTGCTATAAGGCCAACTATTCATCTTGTTAGACCACCTACTCCCCTATCAACTATGTAGGTATATCCGGCAAAATAGCCTCTTCCACCTCTTGTTAAATTATTTATTGTTTATCTTTTTTTTTTTTTTTTTTTTTTTTTGTAATAATGTCGTTTGTAACTGTGAATATTGTTGTTTGGTACTTAAAGAAAAATATGTCGTTTGGTACTTTTCAGGAAAATTGTCGTTTGTTAAATTTTAAGTATTACTTCCTTCCTTTCCGAGTGGTTTGCGATATACATTAATTTCATAATTTTATTGTTTTGTTGATCAAATATCTTCCCAATAAATAAAATACCAATGTTGTACGCGCCTACCACACACCTCACTTCATCAAATGTTTTCAGATTTAAGGAGCATTTTAGTTAGTTTTGATGTTAAAATTCATTAAAAAAATGTTCACTATTGGACCTTGAAGTCATGCAAAAACAAGTTTGAGGTCATATGTGTTTATGAAAACTATGAATGACATATTAGGTTAATCAAAATTAAAGATACCAACTTAAGAGGTTCGAGTATTCGAGGATCAACACATTTGTTCTAAAACGCAAATCCATCCCAATCATTGTAAATCGAATACTTCGGGACATATATTGAAAGATTCGATGACAGAGCATAGTAAAATATTTAGGAAGAATAAATCACCCAATGTAAGAAAAACCAATTTAACGCTCACATTTCCTACTCATTTCCTACTTCAAGCATGGCGTGTGAAGGGCCATGCGCCCGATTTGCTGAAGGGTACATACAAAGATTCACTTTGACACATATTGAGATGGCTGACTGAAGTTTCAGTTTTTCTTTGTCTTCCTTGGTTATGTGGTAAGCTATAATGTAATTATCATCACATTATAGCGACTTTTGTTATTATTAGTTACTATAACCTCTATCATTTGTAGATTCATACTTTGAAATATAATTTACGACCATTGATAATAACAGATAGTGTCCATGTAAAAGGGAAGTTGTAACATCCCAAAAATCATAGAAATTTTTTTTTTCATTTTTGTAATGTCCCAAAAATACAAAGTAAAATTTTCATTTTAAATAAGTCAAAATCATTCATTCATTTTGCCAAAATATGATTAGAGTAAAACTATTCTCAAAACATCATAGTAAAATCATAAACAATCATTGGGGAATAAATCTCCAGCGGATGCAGTGCGATCAAGTCGGACTCTTCCTTATGAAACTGGAAGTACCTGAAAATGTTCAAACCACAAAACCGTAAGCACAAAGCTTAGTGAGTTTCCCAAAATACCACATACCATACAACTCAGTGGGCCCAACCCTAGGGTATGTTTCAACCCAATGCACATCAATGTGCCTAAACCTGGGGCCCAACCCTAGGGTATATTTCAACCCAAACATACAATAATAGGCCCAACCATGGGGTATATATTAACCCAAGTATATAGTAATGGGCCCAACCTTAGGGTGTATTTCAACCCGAACATACATGCAAGAGTCATAAAGACAGCTAACATTCTACACAACACAATCCAGTGGACCGGTATTGGTGCCTTCGACCCACAAGTACAGTGAGAAGACTCACCTAAATTGTTCAATAAAAGCCCAACAACTACCTCAACAATAGAACAACCAACCAAGCTTCCTAAAGCCAAACTGAGACAAATCCTTAGTTAAATACTCAATTCTACCCAAGTTTGACCAAAAGTCAAACTGGTCAAAAAGTTAACGGTCAAAGCTAAGATCAATATGGCCAACAATAGCCCTCTACGTCGTGGCCTTCCTTGGCCACGTCGTGGGTACAAAATGCCAAAATAGCCGTTGATTCCCTAGTCGCCATGTCGTGGCAACCAAAGGCCACACCATGGGGACTGGTCTGAACAGCTCAAACGAGCTTAATCCATTTTCTTCTGACTTCAAGAGCTCCAAAGCTCAGATCTGATTCTTTCCAAGGTCTTAATGGATAAAGTTTCTAACTTTATCCATCCAAACCACAAAGATTTAGACTTTAAGTCTCAAAGGGACCCAAAAATGCATCTTTCTCAACTTAATCCATAAAGTCCAAGTCTCCTACTTTCAGATCTGAATCAACAAGATGTATAGAGGGATAAAGTTTCCAACTTTATCCATAGTAATTCCACAATCATTCAAGATCTAAATGTTAATACACCAAATAGGCCAAAAGGACCAAGATAATTTACATGGCTAAAAAAGGAAGGCAAAAGATCATAACTTTCCTAGTCCATGAGGTCCAAGAAACATTCCAAAATGATCAAAAGATGTTGGAGTCCACTCAACTCCAAGATCACCCATAAAATGGACCAAAAGTTCCAAAAACACCAAATGACAAGATCTAAAGAACTAGATAGCAATATTGGAACTTTATACTTACAATAGTCCAGAAATGTAGTGTCTTTGATGGATCTAAACTTGGAGCATCATTCCTTGCAACCAAAAGAACCTTCTTGATCTTTTAAATTCATCAAAATAACATAAAAAACATCCAAAAGAGGAGAGAGAGGATAGGGTAGGAGCTCAAATCTTGAAGTGGAGGCTAGAGTTTCTCCCAAGGGGTTCTAGAGGTGATGAAGGCTGATAAAATGACCAAAAAGTTGGAACCTTATGCTTGAATATGTTGAAAACCCTAAAAATCATGGGCTTGGTCCTGACTGATCGCGCTATCGTGGCCACGCTTCGCCATGCCGTGGTGACTGCCACACCGTGGGCTCAGATCCCCACTCCGTGGCAACGATTTTCATCCAAATCCACCTCAACTTCAAACAACCATAACTTCTTCGTTTCAACTCCATTTTCGGCGATCTTTATATGCACGGAAAGGTATTGACGAGCCCCACACTTATATCTAGTTAATTTTGGCTTAACACATGTCGAAATAAAAACCATAATCCATGCAAGAACCCGAACATATAACATTCCCCATTTTACCCTTTGGCTCTAAAACACAAACCAAGGGCTTAGATCATATAACCAATATTATCAACATACAATAGGGTCTAAAACTTATTCCCTTGAAGCCCAACTCCTTTAATTGATACATTTAATGTCCACAATCCCAAAATAAGAAACTTTTCGAAACATGATGTTACAACTCTCCCCCGCTTAAACTAGATTTCGTCCTCGAAACCCGTCTTGGTTAGGATCTATGAAAATAACACCAACATATTCCATAAGCTTCCTCTAACCACTTAGTAATCAAGTCATCTTATAAATAAATCGAGAGACTACTCGTAAACCTACAACTGCCAACAAACAACCCAATAACTTGAAAATACTCAGCCACAACGACTATCTTTTGCTCCCTAACTGCAAGATCCAACTTCCAGAGAAAACCACTAAAACCGGAAAGTCTCACAACTACAACCACAAACCAACTCCATCAATATACTCCCCGAAACCGGGAACCCATCAGTATAAACTTCCGAAACCAGACCCTAAGACTGATGATTATCCATTCATCGTACCCATCCCTAGTCACTAACTAGGAACAACACTAAACCATGCATAATAACTACCCAAAACATCTTGATTGTGAATTTCAACCGATCCCAAATCCTATAATTGTGCCTAAAATGCTGAAACACACACTTGACTTCCTGACATGAAACATCCCAAAAATCATGACCAAAAATTTCATTTTTAAATAATAAATAAAACCATAGTTATCAAAACCATCACATCAAAACATAAGTAATAGTATATCATATCAAAACATCTGTCAAAATATCAGAATAAATATCCTAGGCCATAAACATAATGGTGTGTGCACTGCAGTCATCCCGAGCTCTTCCCCTTTCTACCGGCAGTACCTGAAACCAAAACTGAAAATTGTAAGCACGAAGCTTAGTGAGTCTCCCCAACTACCACATACCATACACATATCACATAGGCATATCTTGGGTCCCGCCCTTGCTACATCAAGTCAAGCTCGGCATCGGCTTTCCCAGCATCGGGCCCCGCCCGACATCGAGCATATCTCAGAATACATACGAGCATAATCAATAATACATATAAAACTAAGCATATAACATTAACACTTAAACATTCCTCGGGCCCCGCCCGACATCGGACCGCAATCCAGTAACATACTAACATTCCTCGACACCGCCCCGACATTAGACCAAAGTCCGGAAACATACAAGTAC